GCTGTCAGAGTGGGGGAGGGGGTGGGAGGGAGGGAGAGAGGGAGAGGGGAGGGAGGGAAGCCGGCAGTCACAGGCACAGAGACTAAAGAGAGAAAACAACCGAGGGCAGCATAGAAAAAGCAAAATACCTAGTAAGAACCAGGCTGGGCGTGCAGCCCTGAGCGTCCTCACTGGGGCCACTCCCTCAGGACCGGGGACCACATCGTCATGGTGAATGGGGTCTCCGTGGAGAATGTCACCTCCGCCTTCGCCATCCAGATTTTGAAGACCTGCACCAAAACGGCCAACATTGTGAGTGGACACAGGGTGGGGAACTGAGTCTCAGTTCAGGAAGCCAGGCGGTCCTGATGCTGCAGGTAGAGTCGTAGAGCTTTTGTCTAGGGGGAGCGCTCCACCCTAACCACACCCCCAGACCCCACTGCGAGTTCTGGGCATGGCTCCACCCTGACCACACCCCGAGCCCCCCACTGGGGCAGTCTACATCTTTTTCCTTTTTATTTTCCTCAGTCTCTATTTTCCGGGTTGATCTTTAATTCTTTTTTTTTTTTTTTTTTTTTTTGAGACAGGATTTCACTGTAGCCCTAGCTGTTCTGGAACTTGCTCTGTAGACCAGGCTGGCCTCGAACTCACAGAGATCCTCCTGCCTCTGCCTCCCCAGTGCTGGGATTGAAGGCGTGCGCCACCACCGCCCGTCTAATGTTTTTAAGGTTTATTTATTTTATGTATGTGGGTGTTTTGTCTGCATGGATATCTCTCTGCACACCAGAAGAGGTATATGATCCATGAGACTACAGTCACCCACTTGTGGGTGCTGAGAACTGAACCCGGATTCTCTGGGAGAGCACTCTGCAGCCCAGATCTTTAATTCTTCATCCCCCGGCCTTAGTCCCTGTGTAGTCACAGTGTCTGCCCATCCTAGGCTGATAGGCAGAGTTGAGGGGTGCAGCCCCTTCCCCTGAAGTCACACACTGGCCCAATCAGATGATGACTTTGGTGCTGAACTCAGAGGGGCTGAATGTCCTGGGGTCCCTGCTTCCCACCTCTTGTGACATGTCTTCCCCTTCTAACAGACAGTAAAGCGTCCCCGCAGGATCCAGCTGCCTGCCACCAAGGCCAGTGCGTCGCCAGACCCGGAGGAAGCCGACCACGGCCGTGGCTACGAGGGCGACTCCTCCAGTGGTTCGGGCCGATCTTGGGGTGAGCGTTCTCGAAGGACCAGGACAGGGCGCCGCAGCCGCCTGGGCAGTCAAGGGCGCTGGAGCTCAGGTGGCGGATCTGAGCCCAACGGACTGGACCTGGTGTCCGGCTACAAGCGCCTGCCGAAGCAAGACATGCTCATGAGGCCACACAAGTCTGTGCTGGTGAAGCGAAGGAACAGCGAAGGTGAGGGGCCTGAGTGCACCCCAAAACAAAAAATCCTCAGGGGCTGGGGGCGTGGTCAGGGGTGGAGCCTCACCTAGAATCTCCCGCTGAAGGGCTGGGGGCGTGGTCAGGGTGGAGCCCTGTCTATTTTAGAGGCTAAAGCAGAAGGATTACAAGTTACTTCAAAGCCAGTTTAGTGATCTTGGCCTCCTGGCTCACTTCTCTCCTCTCCCCTCCAGAATTTGGAGTGAAGCTGGGCAGCCAGATCTTCATAAAACACATCACAGACTCTGGTCTCGCTGCTCGGAACCGCGGGCTTCAGGAAGGAGACCTCATCCTGCAGGTGAGCCCAGGCTTATGCTTCAGGTGGGGAAACTTGAGGCCCAAGCGGGCGATGCCATGCATGCTCCCAGCTTCAGGAATCATTCCCAATCCTCCTCCTGTTTCTGGGCCCCCTCACCAAGCCAACTGTTTCTAGTTGTACCCCCCCCCCCAGCCTGTTTCTGAGAGCTTGTCACTTATTCCCACCTGGCCACTGTCAGATCAATGGGGTGTCCAGTGCGAATCTGTCCCTGAGCGATACACGGCAGCTCATTGAGAAATCCGAGGGGGAGCTGACGCTACTGGTGCTGAGGGACAGCGGGCAGTTCCTGGTGAACATCCCTCCCGCAGTGAGCGACAGCGACAGCTCCCTTATGGAAGGTGAGGAGAGCAGCCTCAAGCATGGCTCCTGGAGGCCCCCAGAGGGATGGGAACTTACCTCAAGCCACGGGCAATCCAGGCTGCATTCTGTGAGGCTCAGCGGCCACTGGACGGCCCCGTGTGGCATGAATGACATGAACGGAGTCGAGTGTGACCCTGGCTAACCTGCTGCTCTCCCCTACAGACATCTCAGACCTGACCTCGGAGTTGTCCCAGGCGCTGCCATCACACATCCCTCCACCACCTCTACAGGGTCAGCGGAGCCCTGAGGCGAGCCCGATGGACTCCCCAGTGTGAGTGCAGGGTGGTGGCCGTGAGGGTGGTGTGCACACTGCTCTCTGCCTAGATGAGGAGGTGACTCTGCATCTGTGGGGGTCCCTGTGCAAATGCACCCCTACTCACTAGACTTTCCTCCCACCCAGGGAGAGCCCCCGGCCCCGGACGAGGGAACTGTCAATGGATTCAAGAGCCATTGCTGAACCAGGTGAGCACTGGCAGCTGGACACCCTTGCTCACTTGCAGCAGCCATGCTGGGGGTGGGGGGTGAAGATTTAGGCAATTGTTGGGTGGGAGCCCCAAACCTAAGGGTGAAAGGCAGGGCCAAGCTTGTTATAGCCTACAATAAGGTGCTGGGGGTGGGGGGGAGTTGGTGAGATGTGGAGCCCTGCCTGGAATCCCCCTGTGAGGTGTTGGGGACGTGGAGCCTCTGCCTATACTCCCCCAGCGAGGGGCGTGGACAGAGTGGAGTCTTCATCAAGAAGCCCCTAGCTGGGCTGGCTCTTTGTTCTGTGTGCTCTGAAGGAGTGAAAGCTCCCGGTTTCTCATTGTAGAGTGTCCTGGAGAAAGCGGCTATGACATTTACAGGGTTCCCAGCCGGCAGAGCCTGGAGGACCGTGGGTGGGTACCTCAGATGAGCATGTGGTTCCAGAGGCCCCCACATCCTGTAACCACCTTTGGAGCCCATGTAACCCCAACTCCCTGCTGGTGAAATGCCACAAATATCATCTGGGCTGTTTGGGAACCCAAGGCCTGCAGGGGTGAAGGTATGCTCCACCACCATGGCCTGATCACATCCCTTTCTGGTAGCTACAGCCCCGACACCCGAGTTGTGCGCTTCCCCAAGGGTGCAAGCATCGGCCTGCGGCTGGCCGGCGGCAACGATGTGGGCATCTTTGTGTCCGGGGTGCAGGCGGGCAGCCCAGCCGACGGGCAGGGCATCCAGGAAGGGGACGAGATCTTGCAGGTGACATGGCGACCCCGGGAATGCGGCCCTGGGTCTTCTGGTGCTCCCCTTCTCACGTGTCATCATGAGGCTACAATCACCTGTTTGTAGCCCAGGCTGGCCTGGAACTCGCTATCCCTCCCACTTCAGCCTCTTGAATGTTGGCATTACAGGCCTGCATCCCATGCCTGTCTTTTTCCAAGGGTGCCAGGCATTTGAACTCAGACCCTCATGTTTGCTCAGCAAGCTCTTTTCCTCTGAGCTCTCTCATGAGCCCTGGAGAGTTTTTACATGGCACTGCAGTGGGGTTGGTCCCCTTAGCACCATCTGAGGCTTTCTGACTTGGCTGTGTGTACGGAGCCTGGCTCCTCCCGGGATCTGTATGACACTCAGCCAGAGGGTAAGATCCAGTCTCAGAGGCGAGACACCTTGGGAGGCAGTTTGGGGTGTGGCGTGCAGTGACCTGGTCATCCACCTCACCTTCTCACCAGGCCTTTCTTGTCAGGTGAATGGCATGCCGTTCCGGAACTTGACCCGGGAAGAGGCTGTGCAGTTTCTGTTGGAACTGCCACCAGGGGAGGACGTGGAGCTGGTGACACAGAGCAAGCAGGACAGTGAGTGGCCTGGGGTGTCCCCACAAGGACCTGGCCCCACACAAGAAAAACAAACACCAAAGTCTGGGCCAGCTCTGGGGGTGTGGAGACAGGAGCATCCCTGGGGTCAGGGCCAGTCTGGCAGACCTGGTGAGTCTGATGCCAGCCTCTGGCCTCTGCTGGCTGACATGGAGGCACATGCTCTTAATCCCAACAGAGGCAGGAGGATCTCTCTGCATTCAAGGCCAGCCTGGTCTACAGACTGAGTTCCAGGACAGCCAGGGCTACACAGAGAAACCCTGACTCAAATAAATAAAATACCCTAAGCTAGTGGGTTGTTGAGTCCACGCCTGGCTTCTCCCCAGGCACTACAGGGACAACACCCTGTGTCTGCCCTGAGAGTGAGGAGCTCATGAAACCCCCTCTGTCCTCAGTCTTCAGGAAAATGGTCCAGTCCCGCGTGGGTGACTCCTTCTACATCCGCACACACTTCGAGCTGGAGCCAAGCCCGCCCTATGGGCTGGGCTTCACCAGAGGCGATGTCTTCCACGTGGTGGACACGTTGTACCCGGGCTCGGGGCTGGGCCACGGTGGCCGTGGGGGCCTCTGGCTGGCAGCCCGCATGGGCAGAGATCTCCAAGAGCAAGAACGCGGCGTGATCCCCAATCAGAGCAGGTGGGGGCTTCCCAGGCTCCAGTCTCAGTTTCCCCATTGCTGAGGGTTCCCTGGGGTGCACAGATATCATGGCTTATTCATTCATTCATTCATTCATTCATTCATTCATTCATTCATTTTTGAGACAGAGTTCCCTCCCAGTATCCAACCCCGTCCCAAGTACCAGCATCCAGAGCCCCCAGATCCCTTGGCTTGTGGTCCCATCCTCTCTTTTCAGGACCTGCCTCCCTCTGAGAACCCTATGGTGTCACCAGGTCCCCAGTTCAGGGTCCTCAGCCTGATTCTGCCCTGTCCCGGAGGCAGCAAGTCCCCAGGGTCAGGCCCTTGTTGTGCTTTTCATGTTCCCTGTACTCCCCAGGGCAGAGCAGCTGGCCAGCTTGGAGGCAGTGCAGCGGGCTGCAGGTGTAGGTCCTGGTGCCTCCTCAGCCTCCAATCCACGAGCCGAGTTCTGGCGACTCAGGGGCCTCCGCCGAGGGGCCAAGAAGACGACACAGCGGAGCCGTGAGGACCTGTCGGCACTGACCAGGCAGGGACACTACCCGCCCTATGAACGTGTGGTGCTTCGAGAAGGTGGGTGGCCCTGAGGGGACCCTCTACAGAGCCTCAAGGCCATAGCCTGCCACCCTGTGGGTGGCACAAGCCTGTCACCCCAGCCCTGGGAAGGCTGAAGCAGGGGGATCTCTGTGAGTTCGAGGCCAGCCTGGTCTACAGAGCAAGTGCCAGGATAGGCTCCAAAGCTACACAGAGAAACCCTGTCTCGAAAAACCAAAAAAAAAAAAAAAATAAATAAATAAATCAAGCTGAGTCGGGCTAGGCACAGCAAGGTCGTTTCCTGCCAGTCTGTTCCATATCTAATAGTCCCAAATAGGATCAGAAACAAGACAGAACTTCCTTCTTTTGCCGGCCTTCAACTCTAAACAGTTCTCCTGCCTCAGTTTCCTGGGCTTCAGGCTTGAGCACCCCGACTCCAGAGCCTGACTGTTCCACTCTCTCCACTTCCCAGCCAGCTTCAAGCGCCCGGTGGTGATCCTGGGGCCAGTGGCCGATATTGCCATGAAGAGGCTGACAGCCGAGATGCCTGACCAGTTCGAAATTGCGGGTGAGACATGGCATCCTGGCAGCTGGGGAGCAGGGGTAGGGCATCTGTGAGGGGTATCCCGCCCTCCACCCACTGTGCCCAGGCCAGACAGCCTCAGTGTCAGCTCCCATCACCCACCCACGCATGGGGGCGGGGCACAGCTTCAATGGAAGCCCACAGCAACCATTGCACTCAATGCCTGGGCCAGACATTCTCAATCAATTTGGGCGCAATCTGACTGCCCCTGAAAAAGGAGGCAAACACTTTTTCATTTGCTGAAGAGCTGTCCAGTTTTTTTCGTTTTCTTTATTTTTATTTTATTTTTGTTTGGTTTTGTTTTTCGAGGCAGTGTTTCTCTGTGGCTTTGGAGCCTATCCTGGAACTCTCTTTGAAGACCAGGCTGGCCTTGAACTCACAGAGATCCACCCTGCTCTGCCTCTCGAGTGCTGGGATTAAAGGCATGCGCTACTACTGCCTGGCTATTTTTAAATTTTTGTTTCACTTTTAATTATGTGTGCATCATGTGATCCCTGCTGCTTCAAGGGTGATGCAGGAGGATAACAAGGGTCAGGAAAGCATGTTGAACTTAAAGAAACCTGTATTTAAATCAAGGCTCCCAACATCAACTGGGCCTGGCTGCATTGGTCACACCAGCACTGGCAAGGTGGAGAGATAGGGGGTCAGGAGTCCAAGGTCAGCCCTGGCTACATACAGAGTTGGAGGCCAGCCTGGGATACATCAAGCTCCATCTTTAAATATATTAAATAAAAGGGGACACCGTGGCTGTGGTTGTGGCTCAGGGGGGAGTGTTTAGCAGGTGTGGTGGCTCTGGGGGGATAGGAAGCCTTAGAGGGCTCACACAGAGAACCAGATATGACAGGTTTCAGGGTGCTCAGAAAGGAGGCCCCTGGAGGTGGCTGGGTGGGGTTCAAAGGGCAAAGTCACCTCCACCTCATTACTCATCAGCAATCCGAGGCTGATATAAGGATAAATGGAAAGCTGGGCCCCACTCAGGCCCACTGTGGAATATTACTCATCCAGGAAAAAGAAAGGACGCTCCACAGGGAGAACCACAGGGACAGGAAGTAGGAGGGTTGGGAGGGGCTGGGGTCAATTGCGATGGACAAACTGTGTAGGGGGAGAGGGCTGGACCACCGTGGACAGCATTAGCGGTGTCCCCCTGCCTCCTCAGAGAGCGTGTCCCGGGCTGACAACCCAAACAAGATCATCAAACTGGACACTGTGCGGGTGATCGCGGAGAGGGTAAGCCCGGGCATGGTGGGGAAACTGAGGCCCGGATAGGGTCCCCTGCCCCCATGGATGCCTCACGAGTCTCACACCACCCCGTGACCTAGGACAAGCACGCACTCCTGGACGTCACCCCGTCGGCCATCGAGCGTCTCAACTACGTGCAGTACTACCCCATCGTGGTCTTCTGCGCCCCCGAGAGCCGCCCCGCCCTCAAGGCCCTGCGC